CGGTAATGGAAAATTGAATGCCCCGCTTTTCTTAGGACATCGCCGTGGGGGAAGAAATGCATTTTCGAATGTGAAAAGGGTTGTTTTAGTAATTATTTTTTCGATAACTATACATTAATAATAATATTTCTTTTCTATATCTATACATATTATAAAGGAAAGTCGAGATTCTTTGTACGCGGTAATCTCGAAAACTACTGAACGGATTTTGACCTGAGTGAGTGACCTTTTTTACTTAGAATTTTAATAGCGTTGCCTCCTGTCTAAAAAAATATAAGATCCGCACCGTTCGTTTTATTACAAAATATGAGGTGTCAGATTAAAGGGATTGGCCTCCAGAAAAGCACTAATGTTTTTTTTTTGAATAGGGTTGCCACCTGCTAATAAAATTACTATATTCAACAAACAAAATCGATAAAAAACTATTACAAAACCGATAAAAAATCTATTAAAATATCTATAACAAAATCGATAAAAAATGTCGTTTATTACATCGATAAGTTCCGAAAATATCGATAACAAAATCAATAGCAGTATCAATAAAAATTTCGATAACAAAATCGAAAAAACATCGATAACAAAAGTCCCGATAATCCCGAAAATCTCTAAAATCCCGAAGCAGTCCCCAAATTGGGTCTCTGTGTCTCTATCTATATCCTTTTCTCTAGAATTACCATTATTTTAATTTTTTTTTATCGGTATCCTCATCCTCATCTTTTTCTGTATATGTATTTATCTTCGTTTTTACTTTTATGTTTATCATATTCTTCATCTTCATATTCCCCTTCACCTTTGCCCTTATATAAGTGAAGTGTTTAAATTTACCTAGGTCTTCATTTTTGCCTTTATCTTTACGCATCTTTGTTTTTGTTTTTATTTATACCTTTGCCTTTATCCTTTTCTTTATCTATGTACGTACCTTTCATTCTTGTAGTGCTCTTTTTCTAAGTGTTATTCTTTAACATTTTATTAGCAAGGATTTTTAAATTAATAGGAGTGTACTCGTACGCCCAACTATTTAAAGTTTTAGAAAAATTTTACTGGTTTTGCGTTCTCGTACCCAAAAAACTTACAAAGTAGGGGAATTTGAGAGAGCAAAATGTGAAAGAGAGCTGCAAATTTGAGCAGGAAAAATTTTTCCCAGCTGAAACTTGCAAGTAAGAAAATCAACTGATCACAAAGACATGTTTCTAAATAAACAAAAGAAAATATGGCCCTTTTGAGTTATTTATTTCAAATTTTATTATTAATGCTAGTATACAACGAAAAAGTGAGAAAATTTAATATGCACAACGTTTGTTGTGTTTATTTTTCGCTAATTTGCTATTAATCTCCAGTTTGTTTACTTTAGTGTACTTGTACCATAATTTACCTTTAAATATACCAAAATAGATTTCAATGCAGCATGCCGAAATTTTGTTTTGCTGAAGTTTTCGGTTTTGGTAGGTTGATTGTTGAAATGAAAATTTTATAATTTTAAAGCCACATCTGTAGCTATATCTATTACATTGTTTTTGGATCAATGATGGGCGTTTGGAGGAGATACTCTTGTTTTTGAATGCACCATGTGATATCACAAATAATTATGAGAAAAATAACTTATTCATTCCGATATAATTAATTTGTATTTTAAAAAGGTTTTTCTTATCGAAAACTATTCAATTGTATAAAATGCCAAATCGGAGGAAAATGTACCAAACAGAAAATAAATTGCCAAATTAATCACCAGTGGCAACTGTGCAAGTGATCAGCTGTTTCGAAGGTTGCAAGTTTTTGCAAATTTTGCGTTCTCGTACTTCTGTTCATATTTCGTCTCTTTGAGAGCGAATGCTGCTAAATTCTCAGAACTTTTGCTGCTGGAGAATTTTGTCCTCTCAATACGAGTACACACCTAATACCATTTGCATACACTCAAGAAGCGCTAAAGCACTTGAAGTTTCACTTCAAAAAGATTTCGCGTTTTATGCTTGCATGTGTTCATATATGTATGTACATATATAATATGTATGTAAATATGTATATATATAAATAACAAAAAGAGAAACAGATTAGGTTATAAATATTGCGCCATCTGTTACTAAAAAGCCGAAATACCTACACACATATTTTTTGTCTCCTTCTCTCACTTCCAGTGCATGCACGTTTTTTCAAAATTATGACGAAGTGATTTTGTATTGAAAATCATTTATGCCCATATATTTAAATCAAATAAACATACTTAGAAGATATCGACCAATACTTCTCATATACCAAACGAAGGGAAAATTCTTGAATTTTTGATTAAAGGAAACAAAAATTAAATCATTCCAGCGGTTTTCGAGCATTGTGGTAATAAATAAATAAATTTGCTAATTTTTTCGAAAAGTTTTTGGATTAAAATGCTCAATATTTGTTGAATTTATACAAAATTTGTACACGATAATATTTCTATTGCTCCAAGGCATCTATATCCTGAAAATTAAAGTTTTATCTGCAAACCATTAGTTCCTAGAACACTTTGAAGGCTCAAAATTGACCCCAAAATAAGCCAATATTTAACGTTGTTTCTACAACATAAACCGAATTGGTTACTTACGAAAATGAATCTAACCATAAGTTTGGAACTTTATCTTTGAAACGCCATACTTTCTTTTGAAATCGGTGCATTAGTTATCGTGCAATAAGCGTGCGTAAAGCTCTAAAAATTACAACTACAACATTTGGACATACATATGTAGCCTCCTTATCGAAACGTAAGACGGAATCTACGTCAAAAATGTGTGCTGTTCGTTAGATTACAAGAAATGAGGTGTGGTGTCAAATGAAAGGGCTTGGCCTCCAGATGTGCAATTATATATTATTTGTTTAGTTGTCAATCGCATCTTATTTTGTATCTAGACGTTCAGCGCGTGGTGAAACCTCGCGCATACCAGGCCGGCTAGTAAAAAAATAAATAAATAAGGAGTTTAAACTTGTTATAACATAATTTTAGTTTACATTTTATAAATTTAAGCTGAGTATTAATAGAAAACAAAAAAAAATACTTTAGTTTCAGTTTAATAGTACTGCTTATATTTTTATCATGGTTTCCCATTTCGCTTGCTCATCGCTTTTGCGAGCCGCCGACAAACTGTGCTATTCATCCGCTGACGGGTTCACAGGCGATCGTCGGCGGCGAACAAATTGTTCACCAAGACGAGTAAGAATGAAATTCGGTTCGAAGTCGGGCTTTTGAACGGAGCGCAGCAAAGGAGAAATGAGCTAAGGAGCAAATGATTTTAGCTGGAGCTGAGCTGTAGCATAGAGCAAAAAAATTCATTTGCTCCGTAGCTCTTTAAGACAATTTTCCAGTTAATAAATGTACTTATTTTTTGTTTGCTACTGGAAAAAAAACGCGTTAAATAAATTTCCATTAAATTTATTTTGCTTGGCAATACTGCTCTGCAGAATGATTAGCAAACAGGGATAGTTTACACGTCGATTTGAACGGCGATGAAAAAACGATGACTTAACACCTCATTTTATTTACAAGATAAAATACATTGGAATCATATAACTAAGTATGTACATTAGACTGCATCATCAAAAAGAGTTTCGGTTTTTCCGCCGGGATTACAAAATTTATTATATTTTAAGACGTCCACCAAAATATTTCAAAAAAATATTAAGATTTAAGTGAGCTGGACCGATTTGAAAATACCTCAAAAAGTTGAGTTTTTTATGAGTAAATATAGTTTCTTAAAGAACTTTTCGGAAAAAGTCCCCTCGGATGACAAAACAGATTAAGCTTAAAAAATCTGCATAAAAATATTTAAAAATCTTTTCAATGGAATCGTAAGTAAGAGATTGTTGATGCTGTTTTTTACTGTTTTCAAAGATTGATTTACGAAAAACTTGAAAAAACGGGGCCAAAACTATTCTGATTTAGACTTATGGGATCTCAGTAGAAAGGGATTTTCACACTTTTATTTATTTCTGTCCAAAAAAAAGTCATTCATGTCCCTTTTTTTAAATACCAACACATCTTAATTCAACTTTGAATGATGTTCGTTCATCCTACCTTTCTGAAAATACCTTTCCAATCACACCTCTTAAGTCTAAATCGAAAGAGCTTAGGTTCAGTTATTCAAGTTTTTCTTATACCAATCTTTGAAAAAAGTTAAAAAGCAGCATCGAAAATCTCATCATTACGATTCCGTTCAAAGTTTCTTTTAAATTTTTTAAAATATTTTTATGCAAATTTTTTAAGCTTAAACCATTGTGTCATTTGAGGGCATTTTTTCAAAAAAATCTTTAAGAAACTATTTTTATTCATAAAATACTCCATTTTTGGAGGTATTTTCAAATCGGTCCAGCTTACGTAAATCTTAATATTTTTTGAAATATTTTGGTGGACGTCTTAAAATATAACAGATTTTATAATTCCAATGGAAAAATAGAACCGCTTTTTTTTTGTATGGGGAGTGATGCAGTCTAATGTACATACATATGTATATCAACCCATAAAAGTACTTACATTTACTTGTATATGGAGCCCAAATTAAATGCTCATAGACAAATTTTGGAGTGCCGTTAATTTCTGCATAATCCAATGATCAGATCTAAACCAAATTAGTATGGGATTGCCTCTAAAGTACCATCTTTCCGATATAATTATCGAAATCGGTTCAGGTGGTCCAAGTTATGCGGTAAGATACATAAAAAAAATATTCCGACGTATTGATAGCCTCCTCCTTTTTTAACTCGGTTAAAATATGTTTTTATTGGGAGCGAAGCCAGAACAGAGCGATAAAAAAACCGTTAGTCCAAAGCACTGGTTGTCACAGTAGTTTTCCACTTTTGAGAAATTAGAACACGCAATTTCAAGATTTCTATATTTCAAAATGCTAAAGATTTCTAAATATTGCATCTGGTCAATGTGCTGCGTTTTATTTAGGTTTTTAGAAACAGAAGCATTGAACATATATTCGTAATTACATATAACATATTAAATTCATATATGTCCAGAATAACCTTTTCTTTTTGTATTTTTTCAGATGTGCCTAAAAGTATGCTGTTCTTTTCGAATCAATGTAGAATGCAATTGAAAGCATACATACTATAGTTTCCCCTCCGAAATCTACAGTTATTCGAATGTACGTATATATGCACGTATGTAGTTTAAGGGTTGCGTATGAAATTCTCAAATGAAAAACTTACGCAATTCCATCATTAAGATGAGTATGGAGTCGATAAGCGAGATCATCGACCACCAATCGCTCACTAGTCAACTGGTCGATGACGCGAGCGATTTGATTGCCACTGATTCATTTGTAGCTGTAGCTAGTCGGCGTGCTGTCCACGTCGGCGTCGATCAAACGTCGTCGCCGCATAACGAATCGCTAATTGTGGGTAATCGCACGCCGTCGTCGTCACCAGCACCTGCACTCGCTGCGCACGACATTATCGTAGACGATCACAATGTAGTGGCGCACACAGTGGTGACGACCAGCGATGGCACCATCACCGACGTAGAGGGTGCTGGCCCGGTCGTCATGGTACGTACAATCATCGATGGCCTCAGCCACAGCCCGGTGCATTCGACATTTCAGACGGAAGCGACGGTTGGCGTTCAAAGTCAGGCGCAACAGCAACACACGCATAATCACAGCCAGCAACATCACCTGCACCAGCACCAGCACCAACATCAGCATCAGTTGGTGACGTGTCATCAGCAACTGTGTCGTATAACGAATGTTCACCAAAGTCAACAGCACCAACACAACCACCACCATCGCCAAGATGATCGGTTGCACACCGGCAGTCCCGTGGACTTTGTAGGGTCTGATGTCGCCTTGGATGAATTAACAGTTGGCTCATCACCAAACCAAGGCGGCACAAACATTATTGGCGTTAAACAGGGGGAGAAAGTAGTGATACTCGAACCGAATGAAGTGGTTAAAAGTAGAAGCGGCAAACGGAGAAATGAACTCACTAACACGGGTGGTGGGGCACATTTGCATCAGGGCAGGGAGAGTGGTGGCTTAAAGGTATCCAACCAAATTGATGTTGATGTAGGTGTTAGTGGGATCGATGATCTGTCATCCGATGCGGTGGAGGTGACATTAAATCAACATCATCATCAACAGCAGCAGCAACTGCTGCAACATCATTACGTTAGTGGTGGAAATAGGAGTAGCTGTAGTGCGTTAACGCAGCATTTGCAACATCACGACCATGTTCATGGTCAGCAGATGGTTGGCTCAAACAATCAACAGAGAAACGACCATCATTCTGCGCAGCAAACAATCGGGAACCACCACCATCAAACGTCGCATCACGAAGCTTTATCCGTGATTGTGCAGCAGCAAGAGGATTCCCGCGATTCCGCTTCTCAGATGCTCAGTCCTGAGCTAGGTGTGGTCAGTGTCGGGGTGGTTGGAGACAATTCACTGGAGCCGACCACTTACCAAACGCTGACGTCCGTAAATGAACGCATGTCACCACCAAGTTTTAGCCCGACGTCCTCGTATGCAACACTCACACCGCTGCAACCTTTACCACCCATTTCGACAATGTCCGAAAAGTTTGCCTATGGCGGCCATATAAACGGAGGCGGCGTGGGTGTAGGCAGTGGGGGAGTCGGTGGCGATGCTAGTAGCAATAGCAATTCCTCATCGGGTGGCGTGGGCCCATTTGCAGTGATGCCGCATCCGAGTAGTCTCGGTGGACTCAGCTTAAGCAGCCTGAGCGGCGTGCAGTCTCCATACTCATCATATGACAAACTGCCATCCATGGGTATGCCAATGTCCCCGCCTCAAAATTATGCAACTTCACCATCTAACACAATATCCGGCATGGTGGTGGCATGCGAGCTTCATACGACATCTCCAAGTCCATGCCGTGCACTTTCGCCGCAATCTGCTTACAGCCATTCGACAGAATTCCATTCACCTACACTATCCACATGTAAAACAACCAGCAGCGGAATTCGCACTGGTAATGCTAACAGCAATAGTAGCCTTATCACAGGAACTAAAACTCTGAAAATGCAACAGTCCGATCCCCAGAAGCAGGCTATATGCCTTTCACCGCATGTCACGATTGTCAATGGCGCCGGCGATGGAGAGAATGTAGTTGTGACGGGTTATGAATCACCGTACAGCGTCAACCAGAGAGATCTTTTGGTAACAACAACGCCGACCTCCTCTTCCACTTCCGGTGGACGAAGTTCCCATCTTCAATTACAGCATAGTCCGATTATGAGCCCGCACTCCGGGTCAGCTGGATCAGTATCGTTAAACTCGCCAGGCAGCTGTAGTATGGTTAACCAGTCGGTGGTAACGTTGCCGCCCATAAATGGTGCGATGGTACCGCTATCAGCCGCCTCGCTCGGAAGTAGGGGTATCGTTGATATTTCACCATTGCATAGAGATGCTGTAGTGGTATCTCTTACTCCATCGCCGCCGCCGAGCGATATGGTCGGAACGGCCACCACACTACTTGCGATTCATCAACCGACAGTTCATATGCATCAGCAGCATCACCATCACCAACAACAACAACAGCAGCAGCAACACCAATTAGTCACTGGGGCACAGCAACATTTAGCACAACATCAGCAACATCATGGCAAACACACGCATCCTGTAACCAGTGACTGTAGTCTTAACGTTAGTCTGAACAGCAGCAGCAGCAACCTCCGCCTGACCAATGTTGTGGGTGGGCAAAATGTTATTAGCAACAATAATAATTTGTGCAATATGGGGCAGCAATCCCGCCAACAAACACAGCAACAAAGTCAAAGCGAGCAACAGCATCAATTGCAGCTCAACCTACAGCACGTAACAAGCAGTAATAACGGCAGTAACAGCTCGAGTGGTTCAAGTGGTGGCAACGCCGGCGCCGGAAGCAGTAGCAGCAGCAATGGTGGCGGCAGTGCAGCTGGTGGCCTCACTGGCAGTAGCGACATGGAGGAGATTAATACCAAAGAATTGGCGCAGCGAATTTCAGCGGAGCTGAAGCGTTATAGTATTCCGCAAGCGATATTTGCACAGCGAGTGCTTTGTCGTTCACAAGGTACTCTCTCCGATCTACTACGCAATCCAAAACCATGGTCAAAGCTCAAGTCCGGGCGCGAGACTTTCCGACGCATGTTTAAGTGGCTTCAAGAGCCTGAGTTTCAGCGCATGTCGGCGCTACGTATGGCAGCGGCTCAGTTACCTCAGCGCAGTAGCAGCAGCAGCAACGCCACAGTCGCTATTGCTACTGGTGGTAGTGTTGGCGCTAGCAATGTTATCGTTGGTAATAGCTCTAATGGAGGTAAGTACTTAAAGACATATGAAGGTATACGTTCTTGAATTCAATAATAAAAAACGCCCATCATATCTGTAGGTGGTAATCAGAGTGGGAACGGCGTATGCCGGCGCAAAGAAGAGCTACATATAGAGCATATGCCACAACCAAAAAAGCCGCGACTAGTCTTCACAGACCTGCAAAGGCGTACACTCCAAGCAATTTTCAAAGTGAGTATAGCCCGATTAAAATTGGTGCCGCCAAAGATTGCAAAATTATAAACGCTCCATATATTGCGAAGTTTTAACAAACAATTTTTTTTTGTAACTTAATTTTCACTATGCAATTAACAAAACCCATAGTAAACCAAGTTTTAAATTTTGTGCAATATTTAAAAAATCAACCAGAAGTATGTCTGACCAGTTTTTTATATGGATGAAAACGCACACCACCTCAGCAAAAAAGAAATTATCAAAAATTTAAGAAATTTTGTATCAACTTCAGACTTGCACTTTATTATACTAAAATTGAATGCATACCAAAAAAACCATTACAATTATATTTCAAACAAAATTTTTGTTAAAGCTTCTCAATATGTGGTGCGTTTTCAATTAAGCAACAGGTGGTATATGAGCAAATCTCACGAGTTGTTTTTTTTAGCGTCACTCCTTTCTCTCGGCAGAAAAAAAAAACGCTAAAGCATTCTTCTTACATGTACTGTATTTGAACAATTTTAGCCGTGAAATGTTTTTTAAGAAAAGTATCGAAATTACTAATTTTTTCATCGTCACTCGAAAAAATCATAATTGTTTTTGGTCAAATAGAATGTTCATAATAGAGGTAATGGAAGTTGGCATCAAATACAACATATCTTTGAAGTTTCAAAAAAAATGCAACCAAATTAAAAAAAACGGCAGCATGCAGAATACATGGTTTCTTTTAATTTGAATAACTGAAGATACTTGAAAATGTTAAAATTAAAAGATGAAAATGTTCTTCTTGCCAAAACGGACAAATCGAGTGTCTTACCAAATGAAAGAAAATTACATTTAGTAAAAGATGACTATGATTTGAGAAACTAAGATTCCATTTTTATAATTTTTATTGGCACATCCGAAATTCGTTGTAAAATTGTTATATAAATGAAGAAAGTAATATGTGGGCCATTCCATTGTGACTGGTTGGACATTTTACTCCAGAATGTGGTCAATTGTGAATTTTAGCTATGTCGTCGGAGCTTATACAACAGTGGAAGATATTTTTTAAGACAGAACGATAAATAATGTATAAAATTGCTTTAAGAAAAATACCTAACGATTTTTTAATTTTATGTAACTATCATTTGAATGACTGTGATGGTGAGACTCTGAAAAGAACTCTATTTTATCCTGGTGCACTCAAAGACGAATTTTAGCCAAAACACGTAATCTTCTCGAACGATGTTTTTGTGTTTTAAAATATGCATTATACGCTTTCGTTTTCAATAAAAATGAAGTGTAATCTTCATAAAAACTGTGTTCCTATGGAAAAGTAGCTTATGTCGAAAGGCTGGCTTTAGTATAATGCGGCATTCCCTTTATTCTTTAAACGACAAAGAATTTTTTGATGAGACTTAATAAGGATATTGACTTACTAGTATCGGAGTTATTTCTTGCACGTTTATTTGCCAAAAGTTCTCAACGGCTCACCGCCAGTGAGTAATTCGCAATCGTATGCTGCGAATGCCGATTTATACTAAAGCCAGCCTTTCGACATAAGCTACTTTTCCATACGCACACAGAAAATATTAAAAAATATTTAAAGTTGTAACTAGTGCGACATCTCCTTGTGACTGGTGTAAAGTAATAATGTATGAAATAAAAGTTTCCATAGACAAAAATTACAACTTATTTTTATTTTTTTAATATTTTCCAACTTATTAATGAAATGTAGTCCTTTAAAAAGAGGTTAGTACTGAAATAGTGATAAATAGGGCATATTTTATGTCGTTTTCCTCTCTTTAGTGGAATGACCCATGTATGTGTATAGCGAGCACTATGTAAAAACTCCCACGCCAATATTTAATTACTTCTAAATTGTATGACTTTTTAGTTTAAGCTGTGTCAATCCATGCCAAATCGACCAATGGTTGAATCGAAAATTTTTGATTTGGACACATTTTGGTCAGAACTTTTTTTCTATACATAGTATAAAGGAAAGTCGAGATTCTTTGAACACGCTACTCTTGAAAACTACTGAAACTACTGCACGGACAGCGTTGCCGAATTGACGATTTCGTCGTTATTTTGGCGTTATTTTAGCCCAATGACGTTTTGACGATTTTTCTCCCATAATGACGACTTTTTATTTCAGTTTTTCCACTTAAATGTATGTATGTATGTACAAAATCTGTTAAAGTAAGACGTAATCCAAAATACATACAATCATGGGGTATAGTCGTTGCGCTGGGTATGCAGTTACAGCTGCATGGCTATACTCAATCTCGACTCTTGCGTCCTCGTTCGCGCACTCTGGGCAACGTGAGCAACCCATTGGCGAGATGCGGTAACCAATTCGAGTGGAGCCTTGGGTCACGGAAGAAAGAGAGGTAGCTTCGGTGGGGCCACTCCGACTTATTCGGTTTAAGGGCTCACTGAAGTCTGCACCGTCTGTTCACCAGTAGGTGCGGCTGCAAGCGGGTAAGTAATGGGTTGTGCGCTGGGTTTGGGACCCGCCACGTAAAAACCACTTCCAGTGAAGAAGCAATACAAAGCCTCGGATGAGGCCGCCGTTATGATGACGACCACGGCAAACGTTTAAAGGACTACGATTTGAGGGCATGCACCTGGAATGTCCGGACCCTTAATTGGGAAGGTGCCTCTGCCCGGCCTGTTGACGTCCTCGTAAGGACAAAAGCTGACGTCACCGCCATCCAAGAAATGCGTTGGACGGGGCAAGACAAACAATGTCTGGGGCCTTGCGACGTCTACTACAGCTGCCATGTAAAGGAGCGCAAATTCGGAGTTGGATTTGTGGTGGGAGAGAGACTCCGTTGCCGAGTACTGTCGTTCACCCCGGTGGACGAGCATCTAGCCACAATCCGCATCAAAGCGAGATTCTTCAATATCTCGCTCACCTGCGCCCATTCCCCGACGGAAGAGAAGGATGAGGCGTCCAAGGATCTCTTCTATGAGCGCTTGGAGCGCACGTACGAGCGCTGCCCCCGTCATGATATCAAAATCGTGCTTGGCGACTTCAATGCCAGGGTGGGCAAAGAAGGGATCTTTGGAACCACCGTCGGAAAATTCAGCCGCCACGCAGAAACGTCCGACAACGGATTGAGGCTGATCTACTTCGCCGGGGCCCGAAACATGGTAGTATGCAATAATAGGTTCAAGCATAAAAAGATCCATCATGCAACGTGGCTGTCTCCTGATCGAAAAACGAGAAACCAAATCGATCATGTTGTGATAGACGGAAGGCACGCTTCCAGTGTTTTAGACGTACGCACACTCCGAGGCCCAAACATCGACTCGGACCACTATCTTGTTGCAGCCAAGATACGCACCCACCTCTGAGTAGCAAAAAATGTGCGCCCTAATATGCAAGAAAAGCTTAACGTCGAAAAGCTGAAATCACAACAGACAGCCAGTGCATTCGCTACTCGACTTTCACACCTGCTCTCAGAAAGCACTCTTCAACAAACCGACATATGCGAGCAGTGGAACCACATTTCCCGCTCATTAAGTACCGCCGCCGAAGAAGTAGTCGGATTTCAGCGAGCCCGAAAGAACAACTGGTACGATGAGGAGTGTCAGGAAGCTGCAGAGAAAAAAGATGCCGCCGACAAGGCCACGCTGCGATCGGGCGCAACGCGCGCTATGTGGGACCGCCATAGGGATCTGAAGAGGGAAGCGAGGCGTATTTGCCGCAATAAGAAGAGAGAGGCCGAAATACGTGAGGGCGAAGAGCTTGAAATGCTGGCCGACAGGAAGAATGCCCGAAAATTTAACCAGAGAGTTAGGCGACTTACGGAAGTTTTCAAGACCAGGGCGTACTCCTGCAAGAACAATAATGGCGAACTAGTAACTGATGTCCAGAGCGTACTTAAATTATGGAGGGAACACTTTTCCGCCCTACTAAATGGTAGCAGCACGGAAAGTTGTGGAGAAGAAGAACCCGAGCCCGCAGTCGATGATGATGGAGTCGACGTTCCACCGCGTGAATATGATGAGGTACGTATAGCAATAACGCGGCTGAAAAACAACAAAGCTGCTGGAGCTGACAGCCTGCCCGCTGAGCTATTCAAGTACGGCGGCGAGGAGTTGATAAGGTGCATGCATCAACTCTTTTGCAGAATATGGTCAGATGAACGCATGCCCTACGACTGGAATTTAAGTGTGCTCTGCCAAGTCCACAAGAACGGTGACCCCTCCATTCACGCCAACTACCGCGGGGCCAGCCTTCGAGCGTATTGTGTGACAGACTGAAGCCCACTGTCAATGAACTGATTGGGCCTTATCAGTGTGGCTTTAGACCTGGCAAATCCACCATATACCAGGTATTCACAATACGCCAAATCTTGGAAAAGACCCGCGAGAAAAGGCTCAACGCTCACCACCTATTTGTCGACCTTAAAGCCGCTTTTGACAGCACTAAAAGGAGTTGCCAATACGCCGCTATGTCTGAATTTGGCATTCCCTCAAAACTCATACGGCTGTGTAAAATGACGTTGAGTAATACCACCAGCTCCGTCAGAATTGGGAAAGACCTCTCCGAGCCGCTCGCCACAAAACGGGGTTTCAGTTAGGGCGACTCCCTTTCATGTCATTTGTTTAATCTGATGTTAGAGAAGATAATAAGAGCTGCAGAACTGAACCGCTAAGGAACAATTTACTACAAGAGCGTGCAATTGCTGGCTTATGCCGATGACATCGACATCATCGGTAACAAAAACCGCGAAGTCTGTTCAGCCTTTTCCAAGTTGGATAGGGAAGCAAAGCGAATGGGTCTGGTGGTAAACGAGGACAAGACGAAGTATCTCCTGTCATCAAACAAACAAACAGTCAGCACATTCGCGCCTTGGCACCCACGTCACTGTTGACAGTTACAATTTCGATAAAGTAGAGAATTTCTTTTACTTGGGAACCAGCATTAACACCGATAATAATGTCAGCATTGAAA